TATCGAATTGCACTGATAATTCTATCAACATAGAAAAGTTAATAATTCAACGCCCACAATAAGATTACACGAAAGCAAATCTTGTATGGATTTTTCTGAACGTAACGAAATTAATTCACGGTAGACATAAAACAATGTAACGTTGGAAAATGATGTTTAAAAATGGAATTTGTCTGACAATCGAATTTTAGTTAAAAGAATTTTATAAAGCTAGAAAAATTGCCCCCACGGAATACGGTACGGTTTCTTGTGTGGACGCAGCTGCATAAGGACGCCGTATCGTGTTCCTTCTCATCACGATATCGTTCCTCGGGGTCGTACGAAGATACTTTAAGCAAACATCGGAAGGAACGATCCTACCGGGCGGGTTCCGTTGTATCGTTTTGTTTTTGATCTTCTGACATAGGAAGCCACCAGTAGCTGCTTCTTGCACGGTAGAGAATCGAGAGAAAAGTACACGCTCAAAAGGGTAGAGAAAACCGAATGATCCAGTTTTATATTTACCTAAGCAACGCGACTTTATATACGTCAATTCACTAAGAATCGTTACACAAGGGATTAAGGTGATAATCCTGGCCTGAACTCAAGCGTTTAGATATTCAAATTGAGCCTCACTCTGGAGAGTAAACGGGAACGATCGACACAATGGGAGTACCTGTCTGATAAGTTGCAAGTTAGAAATCACGATAATTATAAGCTTGAAAGTGTTTCAGAAAGAAATAGCGCTCGCGTGATTCGCCGGTTGCATTCATCACAGATGCAACAAGTACGGCATTACCAGTTCATCCCATACTTTCAGTGAACCAATTACTTAATTTCACGTTCACTATTCGACAGACTTTTTACGGAACTTTCTTAACTACTCAATATTAATCATATCGTAAAACGGATTGAAATGCTTAACAATTTTACGAGCAGAAGTGGAAATGAATGAAGAACCAATTAGTAAAGTTACAAAAGTGATTAACACGTCATAAAGGCCTAACTGGCAGAGATCACTAATTTCTTCGTTTACGTTCTACCTTTTAAATGAGGCAGTTGGTTGCACCAGTAAGTTCTTTGCCCCGCGAAAGAATTTTGAGAGATGTATCGTTTCGATACCCGATGCTACCCGGCATTAATCTGCAGCGACTGTCCCCTGTAATAATACTATCGCGTCCGAAACGCATTGCACACGTCCATCCGTCTGCCCCTTCGATAAAAAAACGTATCAACAACATCCAAAAATTTGAGTCGCGCTTGCGTGCCGAAGCAGCCAGCTGTGCATTGACGCAACAAGTGCATGCAGGATGCACCGCGACTACTCGTCGGGCACGGGGAGAGGAGGGTAACGAGGTTCGGTGGGGTGGTCCGAGAAAAGTGGGGAATCGAAAGGGGTGGAGGACGAGCAGAGGCAGAATTAAATGCAAGGCGAGGGAGGGGGCGCACCACCGGAGAGAAGGGCACGAGGTTGGCACGCGCCGAGTGCAACGATTCACTCCGAGAAAAGAGAGAGAAAGCGAGGACGAGGAGAGAGCCAGCCGGAAGAACGGCGGAGAGAGAGAAGGAAACGGGCGGGGGGGAGGAGGAGGAGGTAGGTGAGGAGGAGAAACGAGGAGTGCATCGCGTCCAAAAGAAAGATGCATCCTCGACGATAGCCGTGGCCTCTTATTTCTTTATTTGCGTACCCCGTATCCACGATGCGAACATTTGTTTGTGGTTTATAAGATCGAGGGGACAAGTGATATAGACAAACGGGGGCTCTCTCCGGTGCAGGAAATGCAAACAGAATGCAGCAAGGGTCGCCGCCGCTGGCTGCAGGGGGCTGACTCTACCTCCGTGCACCCTTGCTATCGTACAACCTGACCGACCTGATACACTTTGGCCACGAGGTGCACCGGCCTTGTTATGCAAATGGGAAAAGTGCAGTCCTGTATGTGCAACTGGAAATGCATGCGACTCACGCGTACCTTTTACGGGATATGCACTTGATACCCTGCACCGTAATGCACCTTACGTGAATCATTCGTTCACAGGTGATAAATTCATAGAGCAAATTTTCCCCCGCTCATTTAAAAGGATGCGTACAAATTCGTTTTCACAGCGAGTAGTTTTACGAGCCGTAGCAGGAGCTTTCATGCGTCAACTGCACGGTGTCTCAGTGGCGTGGATGCACCACAAAATTGACTTCCTTTCATCGAGTCTAATTGTAAGCCAGCATTTGCGGTCATCGAACGAACCATGTGCGCGACTTCGGAAGCTTCAAGGAAGTAATCACGCAACAAAAGATACGCGTCGTGCGAGTCGTGAATCGAATATGTCAATGGAACCGCAAAACCGAGAACGAGATAATAAAAAATAAACGAGAAGTAAATATATTGCTGCCAGTAAAATACCTGTTCCCAAGACATTTCTAATACTAGATAATTCAACAATTTAGGAAGGCCGTAATATTTCTAACTGGACATATAGTTTTCGAGTAAGAAGGAGCTACATATCTCTTTGGAGATAAAAATAGACGTTCTCAAAGTAGCGTTAATGAACTCGGAAGATGATAGGATAATTGTCATCGCTCGTTATGAATTTTCGGTTCGGTTCTCACACTCACGGAACTAGACCAACGTCACACATTGGCGGGCTTAACACAAAGAGGCCAATAGAGCCAGTTAAAGGAAATAGAATCAGGAACGCGGTGGATCCCATGGAATCATTGTAAGGCTTCTTGAGGGGTGAGACCCTCAGGACCCTTAAACTAGTTCCCGCTCCGTACCAGTTCAGTTCGTTTCTCTTTGCCCGTCTTCCTTTTTTCTTTCTCCATCTTTTCAGGCCCTTTCTTCTTCATGTCACTGTAGCCACCGTACGAGAGTGCTTTACATTTGAAACATATCGGCTTATATGGAAATGAATGTTTAGCCATGCATCGGTCTTAAACATCGAAAACGGGAAAGACCATCGCTGTTGGAAGTTGATATATGAGTTTCCGAACAGCACGGCGAAGACAACTCGGAAATGATATTCATCCCTCCGAGCTGTCAGTCTGCCTATTGTCACCTCTGCGATCTCCCCGACTAATCTCAATTATCAAAGAAATTTCATTTATGACAACGGTTATATTCGTCACCCTAATTTAATGGATGCACGAGTTCGGCAGGTTTTCAAAGAAAAATGAAATTCTATACAATCGCCAGTGTCAATGATTGTATGTATTGAATTTAGTGGATGTCTATTAAATCTTAACTGCATCTCCCTCTTCCCGTAGCTGAACCCTCTACTTCATCGTATTTGTAAATAGAAAACTTCTTCTACTTTAAAATTTAGGATGTACGTGCAGCTTCCGTACTTCTAATTTTTCTTCCGAGTTTAAGGGACAGGTTTAATACCGCTGCAATAAATTTCAATTTCAGTCTCACTTTAACGATATTAATGGCAGGGGACAACCGTATTAAAACTGTTTGCTGGTACAGCTCGTTATACTGTCCACTCTCTGCACATTGCATTTAATTACTCTTATCTGCTGTCGAGCATCATTACAGCCAGTAACAAATCCTCGGTTTATACCTCTGTACGTTCGTATCGGCGATAAGGTTTCTTGTGCCAAGAGGAGTCGGTGGTATGTATGGGTAAACGAGAAGAGAAACAGAGAAAGGGACGAAGGTGAGGGATGGTGAAATAACAGATTGCAGTTGTGGCACGAGCGAGCAGCCTGGGCTCAGTTCGGAGCTCGTAAGAAGGCAGGTGCCACATTTTTTTTCGAACGCCTGCTTCACCGTCGAGGAGGAGGCTACCTCAATGTGCAGAGGCTCCCAAACCTCTCGGTAATCGCTCCCCAACAAGTAGAAAGTTCTCGAGTAAAAAAAGATGCCGAAACCAAAATGCACGACAATTAATAATCAACCAAATTGCCCCTTTTATAATGCGAAATGACCGTACGTATATAATTTCGTGATACAGAAACTAAACGGACGTCCGAAAGAAAAATAAATGATTACCTCAGCAGTCTCAAACTTTTCTATGATGAAGATCTAGTGGGATACGAAAACAACAGAGTTCAAACCGTTTGTATTATTATTATGAATCTTAATTATTAAAATCCTAACAATTGTGGAGAAATGCGTCCTGCATATGATAAGAATAATACGTACCAGCAGCAACAGCAGCATGCAGAAAAATAGAATGCAATTGTTATTTATGTTCAACAAATTTGCATGCCTTAACTTAGAAGACGATATTATATTTAAATATTTAAAGATAAAATAACTAATAAAGTTGATGAAAGTAGGCAGTACGCCAGTACATAGAACTAATCGTGGTGGAGCAAGTTCGAATTTACATGACAATGAACGTTGAAGTTTTTGGGTAAGTTTCAGAGTTTACTTCTAAACGAAGTACGAGCGAAGTAATTGGCTGTAGGGAATCATACAATTCCTTTGACGGTGTCCGACGACTATTCAAAATTCTACGAAGAGAATGAGTTCCACTGTAGATAATCCTGAACGATTTTTGCTCGGACACGTTCGACACGAGCTGAAACTCTCTCGTGTATTTACTCGCGTGCCGCCAATTATGCACCTCGTTATGCCAGGGCATTACGCGTGATCTTTCTTTTGATCGAGCAATTGCCCAGGGTTAATAACCCCTCCCGAAGTTTGTGTAAGCGATTACATAAAATTCTTCCAAGATAAATAGATTATTAACACGTAACAAGTTCTGTTCAACGCTACTCCGCACGGTAGCTGGGGAATCCGATCAGTTTCAATAACTTTCTTGAAATATTCAACGAGTAACTAAGTAACTTGATAAACATTACCCTCTTGCTTTATAATAGTTTAAGGGGCAGTCGTTAACAATATTCTTCGATCGCGTAAGAAACTTCCTAATTCACTTAATGGGAGTACGCAGATACGTAGCAAACTTGTTTATCAAGAATCGAACAACGATATTTTCGTGATTGCGCTTAACGTATGGTTAATGATTTTTTACAATTTAAAGTGCAATATTATACGAAGAAAATGTTTAGAAACTCACCGTTTCTTGGGTCCACTGGCAACGGATGGTTCCACAACAAGAGCTGATCCGAGGTATGTGTATCCTGAAACAAGAAAAGGAAGAACTTCGTAAAGGATAAAAAAAATAAGAAGTCGTTAGAAAAGAATCGAGAAGTTAGTTGTAAATAGAAATATTGACTACTATATAAAACTAGAACTTATCAAAAATTTTAATAAACGATATGTATAACGGGACGATTTTCTCATGGCATTGCAAATACGAAGGAATTAGTTTACTGGGTCAGTTAGAATAGCCTGTTTGAAACCACGGTTCATCTGAACTCTGACCTGGCCAGGGTGAACGACGAAAGATTTTCCCATGAAAAAACATATCGGACACCGGTTTCGACCTGAGAAGTAGAATACGGCCGCTTCCGGGTTTCGATTTACACACACGTAGTGTCCACAAAATCGCTGCACTGATTTAAAACCATCGCCTACCTTAGTCATATTCTAATCAGGATCAAGAGGTTATGTGAACGTATCGGCGGTCACAGTCTCGCACTGGCGAATTTTTCGACACGGCCTGGACACACGTATACATACACGCACGTACACAAGTGTACACAAGTATTTCCTTTCCTAGGCGCCAGGTGTCCTCTGTCAGTTAGACCCATCTAATTTTCTCTAACCAGTTCCTCTTTCTGAGTGTATTGCAAAAAAAACTACGAAACCACTTTTGCCGGCCCATTGAAACGACCGTTTTCGCACATCGCGTAACGACATCGAATAGCCTACCATACGCTGTTACGATAATATTAATAGCTTTTACAGAATGGTCTTTTCGATCTTCGTTCCACAAAACAGTTTGAATTACGCAGCCGTTATTTCCTATATGTCCACATCTTATTACTCAGGATGCGCGCGCATATCTTTAGAATCATTAGTACTAAAGTTGGTGCGTAGTGACAAGGTGCATCTCGAACATTATATCATAAAGTTTCACGTTTCTGAAAATAATAATCTAGATCGAGGTCACCGCGAAAAGAATAAGCTTCTATTTACGTTTCTCATTCATATCGATACGATACGAGGCCAGCGTAAGAATGTAAACACGGTTCCTTCAGTGAGTCGTCCAATTCATACTTACAAAACATACGCGGGATGGTTTGTATGTATTTTTGTGCATAGTTTATTCATTGTAAGCTGTTGTTTTCTCTTACGATTAATACGAGCCCAAAAACGTGATTTTTGCAGTACATAACCATGTGAAAAACGCATATTTAACTCGAAAGAAGTAGAACTGTGTTATTGATGTTAGGAAGTGCAATATTCCAACAGCATTACGTCAAGACTCTGAAATTACCATGGGACGAAGCAGATGATTCGATCCAAGATGCAACAGGCAGGCACGAAGGTAAGTCTTAAAATTTACTACATGATAATGATCGTCATATGGTTTCTATGAATTATTATATCTGTGTTAACCTCATAAGTAACAATGTGCATCACTAATAAATATGAATTTCTTCATTCGATATCATGTATAAAATTAGAATAGTAGGAAGTTGGTTTAACAAGTTGTTCATTTATTGGCATGCAAGTTCCGGGGTTCGTCGAAGGTAGTATCGGTAACAATTTCGTCATTTCGTATGTATAGCTAATGGTATTTCCTTCTAAACATGCGGATCCTGTTTACTCGAGAAAAACCGAGTGGATCTCTCTCGCGGGATACAATGGCGCGTGGAGGAATTGTTCGCGAGGAGTCTATTAAATGCAATAGAACGCTCGGTACAATAAGGGTATATATTGTAGTGTAACCCACCCGGACAGGCTAGCTTGGGAATTCGAATGAATTAGAAATGCGTATATTAAACGCGAAACGATGAGAGAGGAAGATGACGTTACTGTATCTTCTGCGAGCCACTTGAGAGTGAAAAGAGGCAGAAGGAGACGGGGAAAAAATGAAAAGGAGGAAGTAACGCTTAAATGGCTACTGTTAGCACGGTCCCGTGTCAGGTCTCCCCTTAAATGGGTCCATCTCACCCTGTGTAGCAATAATATTCGTAAGTGTTTCTATGCACGAGTGCTCGGACCTGAGTACCAACAGGTTTCATGCGAAAGCCAATTCGCGATCAGGTAAGAAGGAGAAAGAGGGGCCAGACAGAGCTTGACGAGCTTTTAATTTGATTCTTATATTGCGTTAAATTCGACGTATGCTTTTACGGTCGATTTCACGTGTTTGCCACTTAGGAGACTGTTATGACGCGTTCTATAAAGTCGTCTCGTCGGATACGCTTTAACGTACCGTAATGACTGCGAGTGTAGCGAAATTTACGAGGGCCAAACGCGCACGTACACTTTCGAGCAAAGTAGTATTGTAACTTGTCTATTTTAACGATAAACATGCATCGCTTTCTGTGATAATTATATCTTGCGTAAGCTAGTTTCCTCTTCAACAACTTAAGTGAATCTTGATCATTTTTGAGACGGTAATTATTATCACATTAGCAAAGCCGACACAGACAATTATAGTTAATTATGCATTTTATTTCATTCTAATTTTCTATAATAATAATCGGGCAGAGAAAATAATCTGGCAATGAAATGCTTTGGGTCGAAGCGTGGCAGAATGATAAATCTAGAGGAATCATTACGATAAGCTAGGACGTTATACGTTTCTCAAAAAAACGCCGGCTAGACAAGATTTTATCACCGACACACAAAATTATAGCCTTTCACGGAGCTATGCGCGTCCTGTTAAGCGATCGCGAGCAATCGGTCAATTGTCGGGGGGAAAACGCAAGCGTCTTCGTTTCGAAAACGGGACACCCGTTATACGCCTAAAATATACCGGCATCTCGCATGGGGCGCGCTGCTAAGAAATGCAGAAACAGCAGTTGCTATGCTAGGTAGTACTCCCTACGAACACACGTATACTTGCACACGATACGCGAGGCTCGAGAGAGCCTCTCTCCTTCTTTTCTAAGCACCGGTGAAATTCATGCATAAGAGAGAAACGCACACGGAGGCCAGGGCCCGTATACGTGTACGGGAGGGAACCATACGCGCTTTACCCTGTCACACACAGATTTTTCAGGGGTTCGACCCACGTGCACAGCCGTGTGTGGGTCACACGCGCGTCGATGTGTTCGTGCGATGTACACACCCGTGCACGAGGGAGTAGAGAGAGGGCGAACTAGAAAAAAAGAGAAAGAGAACGAGCGAGAGGAAGCGAAATACGAGGGGTGTGTAGCGAGTAGTGGTATTAGAACAGCAGCGGGAAGGGTGTAGAAAATAGGGAGTGGAAATGAGATAGGGAAGGCAGCGTACAAGGAACGACAAAATGAACGAGAGAACGACAGAGAGGATACAGGGCAGAGGAGGAATGAAACAGTGAAAGGGGACAGGGAACGAGCGTGACAGGGAGAGGGAGAGAGACGGAAGCTGTTCGAGCTCTAAGCGTGTAGCCAGGGTCTAGAAGCGAGTTTTCGGATCGAGTCGGTGTATGTGGGCAACAGAGTAGGTTAGCAGGCTCTCCCGAGGGAGAGAGTAATAGTAGATTGTCTTGTTGAACGAGCAGGATGGCAAGTGCCTTTATAGTGGGTCAGTACTAGCCGGCACCCGGCTAGCAAGCCTTCAAGGTCTCCTTAGTGCGCTCCTGCCTCCTACCCTCCCACCACACCATCTACCCTGGTTCGTAGCCTACAACGAAAACCGCCAGGTAGGTGAGGCTCGTCGAGCGAGAGAGCGAGCTTAGGAGAGCTATCCGGAGGTCGTCGCGCAACCCACCTAATATATATTCATTCTTTCTCTCTCTCCTTCCTTCTTCCTCTCCCTCTCGCTTGAGCGTACCTTCCCTTTTCATTCCGCTTCTCTTCTCTGTCCCTCGCTCTTGATACGTTTTACCGGTTCCTAACTTAAATCTCGTCAATTTCTGCTTGACGGTGAGACGAGCGAACGAACGGTTTCGTTGAGCCGAAAGCATCGATCGCATTCAAATTCAGCGAAACAATGCGCGGTGTTGCGTTCTTGCTATTCTCGATAGTCGGAGATCGTTCGATTTTTCAGCACGAGAGAAAAAAGGTAATTGGGGCACGTCAGGTGCCCCGAGAAAGCTAATCTGATCGTAGACAATGAATCGGTCATTAACGCTTATTTATAAGACGCGAGTTATTATTAGAAGGCGTTCACTTCGGTAACCGATATCTCCACCAACTTAGGTAACGTAAATCTCGCGTATCCGAGTCGCTAATACAGCGGTTTTCGTATCTCGGCACTTGATACGTCGAGACGGTTCCTTGCCGTGCACCGGTAGACCATGCATGCCGTTCTTACTCTGCGATAAGTGTTAAAAACAGAATTGTCGGCCATACGAATATTCTCTACGAGACCCACGAAACGTAGGTACGGGCATTAGAAATATCGTTACAACGACGAGGCGTCTTACAAGATGACATAACAGAAAAGAGTATCTTGCGTCGGTTAAGGAGGGAGGGAGAAAAAAGGAGGAGAGACAGGTAAAGATAAAGTGGGCTAGAAAGAGAAAGGGAGGAGGGTAGCGAGGGAGAGAGAGAGAGAGAGAGAAAGATAGCACCGGCTCCACGGGGAAGTAATAAAATATTTGGGTAGCGCTGAGCAGGAATGGGAATGGGAATGAGAACAGGTTCCTGTTGCGCATTCCAGGCCGATGCTGAATACCGATGCCTTGGACACGGCGGTTGGCACGGCTAGGTACATAAATTACTATTGAGTTACAACTCGCTAGTTCAGTCCCACGGAAATCGTTTGCGACTCGCGTAAGTCACGGGTTGAAATCGCGTTAAATCCATCGATATCGACTCGCAGATTGATTCTTCGAACGGACGGATATTGATCGATTTCTCGAAAGAGCTGGCGAGCCACTGTTCGTTGAAACCAATTTCTCTGAGTTTGCTCGGTAAACAGTTTGGTTAAATAAAAGCCACGATATCGCTCGGACAACCGGGAATGAATTATACGTTCATCGGTCGTACCCTTCTTTCTGAATGAAGAATCGTAGAGAATGATCGAACACCGAGAAGAACGTGAGTGTACGATGATCCGGGAAGTTACCGGCGAATGA